GTTGCTTGACCCTGCAAACTCGTTAATCACGTGACTCTCACCATACTAGTAATACATGTCACGTGAGCAGAAACTGGGTCAAGCAACCTGCAAAGCACTGTAGCAGAAGCAAGACGTCTAGGGCTTTAGACAGGGAGCTATTAGGAAACTAGTACTTTATTATTCCCTGTAAGTCTAAGCTAACAAGTAGTTGATGATATTATGCCATTTTTCTCACACTAGCACTTTTGATAATATAGAGGATATGCGTGCTAAGTATATTCATTCATTGCATACCGTAATAACTTTCAAGAAAAAAAATTAGTTCGTTGGACGTCAACTTTCCATTGGCATTTGGCAGCAATGGAGAAATGATAGAAAAAGGCTTGGTACCAGGAAACCGCTCTGTATTTCTTGATAGCAATCTTTCAGGTGACTACTAGACCCCATTAGATCCTCAGGATGCTTTCTAAGCTTCCGAAAAAGGCCTCAAGAAGGTAGCAAGGCAAGAAAATGTGTTTTCCCCCATTGAACTCTTAATAAACTTGACGTCCAACATGGCGGCCAATTTACTGTGTGGGTTGGATATACGGTACTAAAAAGCTATGAATAATACTTAGCACACATATCCTCTATTGCCCTGGCAGTCGGGCAGCCAAGCAACCGGAAGTCCATATAAATTGTGTATAAACCTATTTCTCGTTCATTGAGCAACTGCGTGGGTGGTAGCGTACATAGATACATGAAAACTTGGACAGAATCAGAGAACTATCACAGCAATGGACTTGCCACAATGAGAGATAAAGTGCTTGATCAATAGAGCACATCATTTATGAAAACAGCAAAGATACGCTGTTTTATGGGGAACTTACAGCTAATTTTGAACACAATAATTCTATTCCTTAGAAAAATTTTCCCTCACAAGGAATACTTGTAAGACAACAATTACCTTGTAAAGATACCTTTTAAGTACCACATACCAAAATTTCATGATTGCACTCCAAAGAATACTGAAGTTACAATTTTTTTATTGTTAAGTATAATTAAATTAATTAAAATTTATTATAAAAATTGTAATAAATCATGATATCTTTATCCAGGAAGAAAATAATTGGGATCAAAGTCTATATCCTCACAATAACCTTCGTCTATAATGCCAAAATAGGCAACCAGATACTTAACACAGTTCATGTGAGTACAAATATGAACGAAAATTGCGGCTCTCATGAAATCTCAAGATATCTTCCAAATACAGATATAAAGAAAGTTGAAAACCACTGCAATAGCTACAATTTACATATATATCAAGAATTACAAGCTATACTCATGGATACAACAATGCTAAACACACACAAACACATAGCTAGGCTACTTGCTGGGACCTTTAATACCTTAGAAAAATTTTCCCTTTTCTCCTAGAGCAATGAAACTTTTGCAGAATAACAGGCATATATAATACTAATAAGCTACCTTGTAAGTGTGATTGCATTCACTCTATTTTACAAGTTATAGAATTTAGTATGATTTTTGTGTCAGCCATTTTAAATCCTTACAGTGGAAACAAGCGCCTGAAACACGAACAGTTCTTGATTATAAATGTAGAAGATCAGTTAGCTACATCTTTATCTAATGCTAAAGGTGCAGAGAACAGCAAAGTAACTGTAGACTTCTTAGTTTTGA